CGCAGCGGATTTCTCCTCCGAATCGCGATATAACGATACGTAACTCAATCTCCTCCTACTTAAACAGATAGATTTCGCTCCGTTTGCCAATCGCCTTCCCCAGCTTAACAGGCTGGAAATCGGCTTGACAGACCGTCCGGATCTCAACAGTGAGTATCCAGTCCGACTCCGCCGTCGTCTCCGGAGAAACCAGTTCGAAATCCGCCGGATGTGCTTGCCGAGTTTGAATCCTCTGATTCGTCTCATCGCGGCGAAAAAAAAGGAGGAAATGAGAGAAAAAAAAACGGAAAAAAAACCTAAAATCGATTAACAGTGGTGGAGATTAGGAAAATGGCCAAGGATCGGCGGTGGACATGGTAAGACGAAAGAAACTGAGACAGATTTCAGAAAGCGAAGTCGGAATGTTCGACATGTTCGTCAAAATTGCTCCAGAAGTAAAGATTCATCCGAAAATCTCAGAAAAAGAGGGAAAATCAAAATCACAGGTTCAATCTAATCAGTCGATTAAGAAATCAGCAACATATAGAGATTATTACAGCATCTAATCAAAAGAAGAACAAGTACAAGATCGATTAAACAACAAGAAACAAGTAGAGATTGATATATATACAGAGTTGAGAAATCGGGATGATATTTCACCGAGAAAAGAGGAGATTAGAAAGCGATTAGTGTGAGGTCAAAAGAGGAGATTAGAAAGCGATTAGTGTGAGGTCAAAAGAGGAGGACGGTGGACGGCGAGGGGATTTGAATTTCAGCAGCACGCCATTAGCGAGAGAGAGAAGGAACAGTCCTTGAGGAATGGGAGTGGGGATATGGAAGGATTTTGTGGGAGTTTTTATGATTTGGAAACGTGAACGTGGATACCATTTATATTATTTTTATTCTTTTAGGTCTTTATTTCCTACAATTTCCTTTTATATTATTCCTTCCTTACTCCAATCTAAAGTAACCATTTCTTTTAATACAACAAGTTCACCGCTTATATGAATAGCTCTTAACGTTGCATCTCGTTTGAGACTAGAGCTCTTTATCATGACTTCTACTCGTTGCATACCTTGATCCACTATTGCTCGAATAGCGTTCCAGGCTGCAGGTTAAACGGCAAAATATGAGCGGAGAACCAAAAAATTACCCGACCCCATATATTTAAAACCATAAATAGCTCTTACCCATGTATCTCTTCAGCGACTTAGGGCTTTTTTATTGTGGGTCCTACTCATTGCATACCTTGATCCGCTACTGCCCATATTACATTTTGTAACAGCCCAATCCCATCCGAGCAGATATTGTTCTCTTTCAGCTTTGCTCTTTTGGGCTTCCCCTCAAAGTTTAAAAAACGTGTAAAAATGGTGTCCCTCTTCTTGTACCTTTGAATCCACAAATATGAGCAGAGAGCTAAGAAATTACCTAATCTCGTTCACCCGTAATAGTCACAATTATACTTTAGAAACTTGCTTGAACATGAATAACGCTTTTACTATTTTATGCATACTTTCATATTATATGTGTAACGCTTTTAATAATTTATGCATACTTTTATATTATATATTATAAAGTATGTTGACTTTGATGCAATCAATATATGATAAGGTTTTTGTTTAATATAAAATAGACTAAGGAATCAGAAGAAAAAAAAAAGTCCAATAATTCAACTGTTTCAATTTTCAAGAGGGTTAGTTGTTTCAAAGAAATTGCTCAAGTGGACACGTCATCACTCCTTCAAATCATATTTTAAAATATTTATTATATTTAAGAGAATATTTGTATCGTGAAAATATCTTTGGGGCCGACCTTTCCATTTTGCAATAATTTTAAGTTAATTAGCTTCGGGAAGCCATTAAATGTAATAACCCAAGTCCACCGCTAGCAGATATCATAGTTTTAAAATGCTTCTGCTAGGGAGAATTTTTCACACCCTTATAAGGAATGTTTCGTTTCTCTCTTCCAACCGATGTGAGTCGTAGTGTGAATAGGTCAAATATGGTAAAAGAATCTTCAAAAGAGAGTTTTAAATGGATCGAGCACTTGCAACGTGGCTTGCAGTCTTCCTCGACTACTCAACTTAGACTAAATCAGTACACTGTATAGGGGACCATAACCATGTTATATATGGGTTTCCCGTGATTTCCTTAAACCAATAATTTAATTGCTACCTAGCATGTCACACCACTAAATGAACAGTCGTGAGCTCGTAATCAAACCACGTAATAATTATTATGCCCATAAAATAACTCAACTATGATTGTCGTTTTATTTGTTACCCAAAAATGCTATTTAATTTGAAGGGTTAAACTCAAACGAGTTGAAGAACGGGGTGTCGGAGACGTTTAACAAGTTGAGGGATTTAATATAGAATGTTATAGATTTTGATTTAAAATAAAGTAATAATTAATATTAAGTAGCTATCATGCTCGAACCCTAGACTTGGAAATTTATTTCAATGTGAAAATTAAAATGGAATAATAGTTGGAGGTCATAACACGTAACCACATTTTTTTCAAATTTGTTTTAATTAAATAATTAATTAATGTGTGATGTTAAAAGATAGACCGTACACCGTACTTGAAAAGTATAATGGCACAATTGGTAAATAAATGGCACACGTTTCCCTATAAAACACCAACCATTTGTACAAATAGACAGAAATAATAATAATAATAATAAATAAATAAATAAATAAGAAAAATATAATTTTTATTAATTATTTAAAAAAATATATTTGTAATACAGGTTATATTAATAATTAAATTTCATAAAATTAAAATATCAAACATTCATAAGTCACAACCCATCAGTGTGACTAATGTTAAATATTCTTAATTGAATTGTAACCCTATTTTCGAAGGTTGAGTTATATTGTAAAACTATTTTCGGGTTACTCAGGTTGACCCGACAAAAAAATGTCAATTTGTAATCCAATCTGAACAAAAGTTCAACCCGACCTAGATCGAAAAAAGTCTAACCCAACACAACCTTTATAGTTTGAGTTGGGTAGTTCAAGTTGGTCGAGTTCTTGGGTTATACGAATAATCCTAATTAATATAATTAAAATTAATAGATGATTTAATGAAAATTTTAATAAAGATTGAAATTAAAAATTTAAGGTAAAAATTAAAAAATCGGGCAGTTTGTAGAAAATAAAAAACCCTAATTTGGGATAAATACCTCAAAGTTAGGGTTCCAGGGGTGAAACGAATCCGAAAGTTGAAGACAATGGCGAAGTTCAATGTGGTTCAGAAGCAGAGACGAGCTCATAAAGCTCAGACGAAGAGGGACGCCCATGGTGATCCCTTGACGAAGAAGCTAAAGATCAAGCAACAGCCTACTTATGTTTCCAGTAAGCGTAAGCGCAAGTTGATGAAGAAAAAACGCAGAGTATGGATTCTATGTGCCTGCGTTTGTTTTGTGCTATGTATTTCAATTGAAAGTATCTGTGATGCGGATTGATTGATCTCTTTTTGTTCGATTCTTGATAATTGCAGGAAGAGAAGGAAGCTTTACAGATGGGGCTGACGAACATGGAAGATGTTGAAATGGCTGTTGCCGAAGGTAATTCTTTCATATGCTATTGCTATTTTCGTATTTGAACTGTTCCTTCAATTGTCAACTTCCTGTGGTTTCCCCCCCTAATTTTAACTTGTTGAAGGGCTCTAGGAGAACTATTTCGAAAATGTTTTCGTTTTTGAGCATTAAGTTCGTTTTCACCATGAAGCTACTTTAGAAATTGTGTTGGTGCAAGCGTAGGCCGGGTCTGTTAATGACAATCATGTTTGTGATAGGGTTAAGGGGCACAAACAAATAGAGTTTACAGTAATAAGATAGAAGTATAGGCACTGTGATTTTTGTTAATAAACTATAAGGATTGAAGCGAAGCCTGCGCCACGGAAGATTGCTAAGAATTCTTTCAATTGGCATATGGATCATTTAAACTAAACTTGGTGAATTGGATGTATAATTTACACATGTTTGATGTGCAAAAGACAAATTAATCAAGAGAAGTGTTAAAAGTCTTCTCAATGCTGTGAACTGTTCTGTTATACTTGTTTCTAGCCAAAGATTCCGAACTAAAGCTCAAATAAATTAAAGCCAGAGAATATTGGATGGGAAGGTCCTTCATATTGGATGGGAGAGCTATGACAATAGGGAATCTCCTCCCCCCAATTTGGACTATGATTCTCATCTTTACAGGACGTTTCTTCACCTCTCATACTAACTTTAGAACTAATACTTGTAAAAATGTGATTCTATCGTGCAAAGTTTTGTTCATCCAGTAGTCCTTGGGGTATATATATCTGTATGCACGTGTTTTGTGCATAGTATCTTTGGATTCAATAGCTTCTTTGCACCTTTCACATTTTGAACCCACTTGTGGCATATTTCCCACTTGTTACCAAATGCTTGTGTTTCTTGTGAAAAAATAATTGAGAATCATTTGGGTGATTCACAATATTAACATTTTTGGCTGGATCCCATTCATCTGGGGAAGAAAGCAACAGAATAGACAATTGGTACTGTTATGTTTTGTGCTCGAATAATATTTACGTTCTCCAGTCCCCCCTTCTATCCATTTTTCTCATTTTTGAGAAAACCTGTCATATGAAAAAAATGAAAAAGAATCGGAACACCAATTTGGTGTATGGCTCATGAATTGGTCATACAACTTGATTGAACTAGTTTTCACTTGTGCCTGCTTTATTTCACTCTAAATGATAATTTTCTTTTGTTTCTGCACTGATATAGAACTTAAAAACACCAATCGAACATCGACCAAGTTCCATGTGAAGAAGAGTGTCCGGCTTAGGCAATTAAGGAGCAGCAAAGGCAAGTGTTGACTATTTACTGTTTCTTCTCCATATTTTGTACTAATTCCCTATTAATCTTTCATCTTTTTTGAATGTGAAGGCAAGAAGAACAAAGGAAAATCTTCTTCCAGTTCAGGTTCTACAGCATCAGGCGATGCCATGGTGGAGTAAAATAGGTGACAGAACGTTTCTTTTTCTTTTTTTTTTTTTTCAGTTTTGAATGCCTCTAGTTCTATTGTAAAATCATATTGGCTCGTTTTAATGGCTATTGCGCTGCAAATGTTCGTAGCTTTGCAAGAAAATGTTCTAAAAAAGATAAAAGATGTAGATTGCATTGAATGAGAAGCCCATGACTAAATGCTTGAAGCTAAGATTACAGCTCCAATTGAAATCATGAGCAAACCTCAGAACTCTCCAAACAGCTCCAATTTATTGTTATTATTATTACCCAACTTTTAAACAACATACTAATCTTTGAACCAAATTTTCTTCGTTATAGCAAGGTGGCTAACTTGATGGTAAACCTCTGCTATTTGCACATCACAAGAATATATTTTGCAGCCACTCATATTGTATCCATTCATACACTACGGTTGTAACATTGTGTTGAGTGTCGTGGAGCCAGCCTTCGGACACCCTAAGAGACACAGTGTTGTGGTGCTAAGACACTATGGAGGGCGTCTCAACGTTGTTGCAAATACCCCCTCCAACCAAGGCGCAAGCAGGCTAATTTTGATGAAGTCAAAAACAATGTTTAAAAACAGATAACATAACCAACGAATCTCTTTGGCTTAGTAGATGTATGAAAACATAATATAGAATAAATATTGCATGCCAACCAGACCCTAAACAACTACATTTATGGGTACTTGGCGTTGATGGTGAAGATCATTCTATTGACATCGTTCCCACGTTCTAGAATGAATAATATGATCGGAAAATCTTTCATACATTTATAAATGGGACGGTTGAAATTATCACCAAACGAATCGACCTGTCTAACAAAAATGAAAAATCTATACCATGTATGATGGCTGAAGTGAAAACAGCAGAGATCAGCTCAGAATGGAGAATTACTGATGAGGCCTAATACTAAAGGCTATGCAAACAAACCATGCTTTTGTTTTTCCTTTACAAACAGAACAGAATCATATCATCCAACTATCTCCTGAACATACCTGAAGATTGAAGCGTTCTAGCATACTCCATTACAATGGGAGAGCTCTTCACCAATTCCCATATCTTCACTGAGTTTTTTAACCAATCACGTTCTGAAACAGTCCTCGAAAACGACGTACCATTCATGGATAGAACCTGAAGGTAAAGGAGATTAATTAGTTAGAAAATTTTACATATATATAAAGTTCCAACCATTAATTTAGTCTTTGTTCTTTCATACTTCATTTTGGTCCTAAAACGTAAACTTTATCTTAGTCTTTAAACAACAAACCTTAAGCTCTATATACCTTTTTGTTGAAGGTACAACGCCTTTACAAGTTGAGCTATGCTCAATGAGTTAATTATAAAAACTCATAGAGATTTAAACCAATATAAAGAGTAGATGAAAAAAAAAGAAGGTAAAAGTGAACCAAGTACCTGATCCCTCAGCTTCCACAAAGCTAAGTTAAAACTTTCATATTGGCCTCTTGTCGAGTCATCCTTGTTTCGATTTGGGATGAAAAGCAACCTTCGATCTTCACCATCTACATCTAGATTTCTGGTATCTGGAACCACAGAGGAAAGTAGCTGCTCACTTTGGACCTTGTCTCCCATAAATGAGGAGGTTTTAAAACATTGTGCAAATGCTCTCTTTAGTTGCAAGATGTTGTGTGGAACAAGATCTGGATCCTCCACTCTGCTCATGATTTACACAAAGAAACAGAGTACCAATCAGTTATTACCATATTCCTTGAGCAAAATGTTAAAGGTTTAAGAATTGTTTTAATAGGGATTGGAAATTTTGGGTTCGGAAGGTGTGCATTTCTTTGCAGATTTTATTTCTAACTTCTTATCTAATTCTTCTGTTACTCTAAAACTATATCTCCTGATAATTTATGGTTTATCAGTGTGAGATCCCACATCGGTTGGGGAGGAGAACGTTTATCAGTGTGAGATCCCACATCGATTGGGAAGGAGAACGAAACATTCTTTATAAGCATGCAAAAATGTCTCCCTAGCAAACACGTTTTAGAAACTTTGAGGGGAAGCCCGAAAGGGAAAGCCCAAAGAGGACAATATTTGCTAGTAGTGGGTTTGGGCGGTTAGAAATGGTATCAAAGCTAGACACTAAGCGATGTGCCAGTGAGAAGACTGAGCCCCGAAGGTGGGTGGACACGAGGTGGTGTGCTAGCAAGGACGTTGGGCCCCAAAGAGGGTGGATTGTGGGTCCTATATCGATTGGAGAATGGAATGAGTGCCAACGAGGACTCTGGGCCCTGAAAGGGGGTGGATTGTGAGATCCCACATCGGTTGGGGAGGAGAACGAAACATTCTTTATAAATGTGTGGAAATCTCTCCCTAGCAGACGAGTTTTAAAAACCTTGAGGGGAAGCCCAAAACAAAAAACCCAAAGAAGACAATATCGGTTAGCGGTGGATTTGGGATTTTACAATTAAACTCTTTAAATAACGAGATTCTTTACATACTATTTCAAATTTTGAGGCTGGAGACGACTAAGGGCGTTTTAGGGGTAAGGTTTAGGATATCAAGATTTTTTAAACAGCAAGGATTTCATGGTTTCGTGGGGTATGGATGTGAAATATAGTCTATGCTGCTTCGCCTACTAGCTTGTGCCTTGAAGGATGTTCTTCCTTGTAATTGTTAATAGTTTCTAAGTTTAGAGGCGACCTTGTTGAAAGGATGTAAAAAAATCTTAGAAGGTTTTCACTCACTTTGCATGAACAAAGATTGGAGTAGCCATATATTCTTCACTTGCAGAAACTTTATCTTTGTGTTCCTTCTCGGATCCTACATTAGAATTTTGTGTATGAGAGAAAACAGAAGAAGATGGATCGGGCAAGCCATGTTTAAGCAGGTCAACCTGCAAAAAAGAAATAAATGTTATGATAGAGCAACGACAAAAAAACGAAGCTTCATGACATGACATGGTTAAGAACAGATGATCAAGATAAAGGTTCCTACTACTTACAGTTAACATCAAACGCCACATATTTAGATCTTGAGCTCCCTCCGATATCACAAGGACAATATTGCAAATAGACGCTAGAAGAATGCCCAGCTAAAGGAATCCTTGCAGAGTAACGGGAAGAAATTTGTAAGATCATAACTACAATGGATAAATAATTCCACACCATAATAGCATTGTTAGTGTAATCATGTGGTCAAACTCTAATTCTCTTCAGACTGCTACCCATTCCCCCAACCCCTCCAAAACACAGACAAAAGAAGGCTCTCTTTAGTGTTACCTGAATACTCATAAGTTCATGAGCCAATTCAGCAGATAGAGATTCGCCACTAATAACTGAGATGGTGGATGAACCATCTGGTCTCATAATTTCAGCTAAAACAGAAGGACTGAACACAGGCTGCAATTATCAAATTATCATGCAAAACTGTAAGTAACAAATAAAAATATAAGACTATAAAATCTCACATCACAAGAATTCAGAAGATTTATGCATCATCACCATTAACCGGTCACTCAAGAAACAGAAATAAAAAGTAAAACCCATAAAAGAATATTGTTCCTTCACTTCAGTCACTTCAGTTTAGTTTTATGATTTTTTTTTTTTTTTGTTTTTTTTTGTTTTTTGTTATTCAAACTAGCGAGACAAAGCGAGTATCCATCAAAGAGGATTTCTGCTTTCCCCCTCTTTTATGAGAAAACTAGCTTTCATCAACATTAAAAAAAGTGTTACAATCTTGTTTCAACAATACAACTTGGTTTTTAAAAGTTTTAACATTATCCCCAGCCTATAAGAAAACGTTAAAAAAAACCCTTGTAGTTAAGTTTCGGATAGAAAACGTTGAAACTTTGTTTCAATAATACTTTTGACCTTTAAAAAATACCATTACTAGAATATGGTTTGAAAGACTAGGGGTATTTTTGGAACATTTTAAAGTTCAGGGGTATTATTGAAACAAAACTCAAAGTATTGGGTATTTTCTACAATTTAGCCCCCCCCCCCCCCCCCCCCCCNAAAAAAAAAAAAAAAAAAACCAGCACAAACATCCGTTACTTGCTTGAAACTATGTTTGTGTTATGTCACTATGCGTGCAAGGACTTATCTCGGACCATTATCCAATCTCCGCAGCTTGGAACGACTCTTACAGATAAAAAGAGAATCTCACATATCAAAGTGCATCAATCACCCACTTTTTGTTCTGGAATTAGCTTCATTTCAAATCTTTGTCAAGGAAATTGAAAATGCAAAAATCATTCTAGGCTGATAGGATATAATTGTGACTATATAGATCATAGTATTCTCTTTGAAAAGTTGGAAAACTTAAAAATCAAGTGGGAAATAATGTATTTATCTATCCAAATACCTGATCCAGTTATCCTAAAACGTAAAATGGCGAAGTATATATTCACTAGGAAAACACCTGAGTATCCAGAAGAATGATCCTCTCTGAAGAAATTCGTGGCTCAATGCCCAACGTGCAATGCCTAGCCATGGCTCTAACGTCTTCAGATAGAATTGGAAATGGTGGTAGCATACCTGAAACATGTACAGAAGGATGAAACTACGAATGAACAGTACTGATGAGGAATGACGAAGATTTTGTCCATGATAAGAAACAGATGTTGCAGTAATACTTAGCCGTTAAAGCATATAAAGTTGTAGCCTTCACAAGATTCTTGATTAAAAGATTGAGGACAAACAATAGAAAAACTTGCAAAATCCATAAATAAAATAATAGGATGAACACTACATTTGTAGGAGTCTTGTTTAATGAAAACACCAACTTACATGGTAAGTGCTTCAATCTAACTCCAAAATATCCCAAAAGTATTCCAAAAATATCCAACATCTTAAATGCAAAATGGCATCTTCAAACAACATGTTCCAGATCCTCCATAATCAGCTTTCAGAAGACTCGAAATGACTGAAAACCATAGACGAAAATCTCTGAACAAAGTCAATGGAGTTTTCTTCTTCAATACAAAAACCTAACATTTTTTAGGGATATTAACTTTCTAGAGCTCAGTCTGGACAGGGGATGAGCAGACTAAGTGGGGGAAAGCAAGCAGAAAAATAAAAGCCAAAGGAAAACACACTCAAGGATCAAGTAGCCAAAAATTTGAGCTAGACAAAGACATTATTTGCTGGTCACTTAAATCTAGAAGTGAATAAAAGCAGAACAAACAAATTAAGAACGTAGCATCAGAGATATCTCACCTGGAGAACTTCCATCGAAGCCATAAATCTCATTCATGATCGTCGACTTACCAACTCCCGGTGGACCAATTATTCCCACCACTTTGAACTCCGTATTCTCAGTCAAAAACTGTAGAGGAATAGTAAAGGAAATGTTAATCGTACTGCCCACCAATTCTCAAATCTCCTCCCAACCCTTAAAAACTGCAAGTGAAACCCTAGAGAGATGATATTCCCCTGAACTGTAAAGAGACAAAATGTTTCTAAACCAACTGATCCAACTCTATCAGTATCATCTAACCAAAAATAAAACGCCCATTTCTGCAGCTGATTAACTCTAAAACTTAAGATGATTTTGTTTCTACTTTAAACGGAGTGTAAGAGATCGATTCACTCGAGCATTTCATCAATTAACAAAAAGACTGAAGTATACCAAATTCCATCAATAAACACATTTTACTGGAACAGTTCCTAATTTCAATAGCAACAAGACGCGAAAAGAAAAAAGAGGGAGTATCTAATCGTTTACCGGCAGGAAACGGTCAATGTGGAAGTCCCAGGAATCGGAGAGAAGATTCAGGGATCCAAGTGAAGGGAGACGGGACCGAATTGATGCGGATTCGTCATCGGCGCCGGCGCCGCGTCCAATCTTAGAGGAAATTGCTCCACCGGTGACGAGGCCGGGCTTTGCCAGAAGAATTTTGGGGGGAGGAGGAGTAGGCGAGGAATTGGAAGAAGCGTTACCACCAGTAGAACCTGCCATTGCTCAGATCTTTGCAGGTCTGTTTTTCCCGGTCGCCTGATATATATTAGCCCTGTTAATCAATTGACTCTTATCAGAAATTCGAACACAGGATCTCACTCAAAGTTTATATTAATTACGAGTTCAAACATCCGATCTCACTCAAAAGTTTATATTAATTACGAGTTCGTTCGTTTTGAGTTTCAAAGATTTTGTTGATAAAAGTTCAAATTGAACGATCTCCACAAAAAATTATTTCCATTGGACACCTTCTACCCCATCCATAATTTTGTAGGGTAATTTCATATATTAGAATTTGAAATAAGAAATTTAATGAAAAATAAAGTTGAACCTCCCAATTCATGAGTGAAAATTTTTAAGACTAATTTAGCTCGTGTCGACTGAATTTGACTTTTACACTATCTTCTTAGTACATAACCCAATGAATTCGAGCTTATCTTAGCAGATAAAATATCAATTTCTTTCTCAAGAGTCGAACAATTCATCATAGTAAATCCGAGCCCATCATAGAGAAAAAACATCAATTACTATTCTAAAAGTCAAGGATTCAACTAGTTAAGACATATATCATCCACTGAGAGGTTAGATATTCAAATATGTCACACTAGAAAAATACATTCAAAAGATAGGCTAATAACCATTTCTTCTGACTGACTTCGATACTTTCAAATGATAGATTCAATGTAATGTTTGTTTTTGAACAAAGATGATGAATGAACGAATAATTTCCCTCTTAATTTCAAGTGAAACAAGCTACAACTCAGGTCTAATCAACAGAAAAATATGGGCTTCTGATGGCACTGTTACGGCAAACCATACAGAAGACAATGAAAAACACAGAGGGATATTCAGAACACAAGGCCATGTTCACGAGCTGCATCAGCAAGAGCTTCCACACGTCCATGGTATGGATATCCCCCACGGTCAAAAGCAACTTTTGTTATTCCTTTCTCCAGACAAGATTTTGCTATGGCTTCCCCCACTTTCTTTGCTACTTCCTGCAACCGTATTATCCACATATAACAAAAATTTTGCTTCTAAAGGTGTGGCTACGACCGTAAATTACGTGATGTCTGTTTAGTTTCTAAACTTAATCACATCCCTAGGCTTGTAGTTCTACATGCATGACTAAAGCTCAAGGGCATAGAGATAGAACCTATGAACAAATCTGTTCCAGCAAGGCTATGTACGATAACTAAACTTAGTTTTCTAAAGAGGACAATATATGTTAACGGTACGGTCTCCATTATAGATTCTTTCTTATTTGAAGGAGTAAGAAGATCTACATAGACATCAAGCTAATGCAACAAGAGTTTGGAAGGGGAAGGAGGAAAGCTAAACATAATTGAATTAATTCTTAGTTGTAGTGAACTCACAATGGTAGGGCCAGAAGTGTAGTCTAACCCCTCAGAGATTGATTTCTGCATTGTTGAAACTGCAGCAAGCGTGTGCATCTTGGAGTCATCGATAACCTGGACATAGAGATGCTTGTTGGAGCGGAACACAGACAACCTTGGCCTCTCAGTTGTTCCTTCAACCTGAGGCACAAGAAGATGAATGTACTGTGAACTGTTCTACTGTATACCAGCAAGAATCAATTGGCTCTTCTAAATATAACAATTCTGAACTCAGTACTGTTCTAAAGGGATTCAATCTCCCAGATTCCTCATTGACCATACCCTGTGGCTTATATTGCCCAGAGGGTGTGAGATAGCCATTTATACCCATTTGACAAAGCGAGATCTTTCTTTAACCAGTCTAGATGTATTCCAAAAGTTTTTGAGTTGGAGACAGATCCTATAGAAAAAATTGAAAATGTCACCTTCCCAAGCGTCAGGTCAAGGATGTGTAGTGTTTTTGTAACAGCTCAAGCCCACTACTAGCAGATATTGTCCGCTTTGGTCCGTTACGTATCACCGTCAGCCTCATGATTTTAAAACAAGTCTACTAGGGAGAGGTTTCCAGTATCACAGTCAGCCTCATGATTTTAAAACAAGTCTACCAGGGAGAGGTTTCCACACCCTTATAAGGAATGTTTCGTTCTCCTCTCCAACCAATGTGGGATCTCACAATCCACCCCCTTGGAGGCCTAGCGTCCTCGTTGATCTCACAATCCACCCCCTTGGAGGCCTAGCGTCCTCGTTGGTACACTGCCCGATGTCTGGCTCTGGTACCATTTGTAATTGTCCAATCCCACCGCTAGTAAATATTGTCCTCTTTGAGCTTCCCCTCAAGGTTTTAAAACGCGTCTGCTAGTGAGAGATTTCCACACCCTTATAAGGAATGCTTCGTTATCATCTCCAATCAATGAGGGATCTCATAAAGGCATTTATGTGTAGAATGATCCATTTTTGTACCATCTTTAGCCTCCAGTTTTGAGAGATCAGTTACCATCCCACATTTTGGCTGTAATCGATTGTGGTTCCATATATGAGGCTTGTTTCCTAACTAAAAGAATAAATACTAGGTGGGATATCTTTCTTACCTTGTTTTGTGTTCTAGGCTCCAAACTCTGGTTTCCTATCTATTCTTTGTACAAGCTACATTTTTCTATAAATTTTAGCTTCTCCAATGAGTAAATTTACTTTCAAGTCATCTGAGGCCCAAAGAACTGTAAGTCTCCGCAGATCTTATCTTGAAACAAATTCCAATTACAGCTTTCATGAACATCATTTGATGCTGAGAACAATAAAATATTTCTATTTTGAATTTTGACTCCCTGCAATGAGAAATAAACAAGCTCATTGTTCTTTTCCCTCTTTTCCTCAATCTTCAGAAATCCAGGACCTTGGTAGTGGAACAATGACAAAATTCTAAGAAACAAGTACACCTCCAAGCTAGTCTAACCAGAACTTCTAAAATAAACGACGAGTTCACGAATTATTAAATCAATCCTTTGGAAGTTCACAATAAATAGATACCTAGAATGAAACAAAATCCACAAAGAAGTAAAACAACAACACACACTTGCAATAAGAACCGAGAAACACCGAGTAATTCCCGGGAGTAATTAAAACAAACGAAACCTAGATAGCTCATTTCAAGAATAATCCCAACCTACCTCCATTTCCGGTGAATCTCTGAAAAATTTTAGGGCGCAGAACAATGTGGAACGAGAGAAACGCCAAATTAGCATAACAAAGTACGCGAAGGGGAGGGAAGGCGGTATAAATAGGGGAATAAGGACTCGATGATTACCTTCTTCCTGATACGAGAATGACGAGCAGCACGGTCCTCTCGTCTGGTGGTAGCCTTGGCTTCGATAACGAGAGAATGTCGGCCGGAACTTGAAGTGGATGACGGAAAATTGAGATGAGGAGGAACGCGAAGATTCTGTGAATAAGAGACGCCTAGAATGGAACTTCCGAGAAACGATATAAAAGCAGTGGCTGAAGACATTGTCGTCCTGCTTCTCTTCTCCTCCTCTTCTTCTTCTTCTTCTTCTTCTTCGAAGGCTCTACTGGTTCGTTTCTTTTCTTCTTGAGAATTGCCTTATCCTTTTGTGTACCGGTTTTTCTGTCATTTCACGATGTTAATTGGAAAATCCATGCAAATTAATAAAAATTCAAAAAAAAAAAAAAGGAAAAAAA